AGTAGTAGTAGTAGTAGTAGTACTACTACTAGTAGTAGTAACTAGTAGTACTAGTAGTACTAGTAGTAGTAGTAGTAGTAGTAGTAGCAGTAGTAGTAGTAGTGGTAGTGGTAGTGGTAGCGGTAATGGTAGTGGTAGTGGTAGTGGTAGTGGTCGTGGTCGTGTATACATATATATATATACACATACACACACATGTATACGTATTATGATTAGTATTTTGACGTCCAGTTCTCTCGTGCACCAGGCGTGCTCTGGCTGTCCTGAGCATGCTGACTGCACTGACATGGTGGGGCAGGTCCACTTCCAAGGCCGCCTCAGAAGTTCCAAGCTGTAGTCTCGCGGATCTTTCGTAGAAGAGGTGCTGAAAGCTGCCCCGGTGGAGTCCTCTGAATCCAACGACTGGGAACCTGAAATATCCGCACCAGCTCCTCAGCGGCATTTCGAGGCGCGGAAGGTATGCTTGACGCGGCACAGGTGTTTTTCGACAGTGGACTGATAGGGACTCGAGCGGAGGGCATGATTGCACGACTGTGGTTCTGCAAGATTAAGGTTGCAGTGCGCAGTGTTCAAGTCCCCGTTCAAGTCCAAGAGACTCCTGTGCAGAAAGTCGCAGAGATGAACCAAGTGGCCGAAGTGACGAATGTCGACACGACACCAGTGGCTCCAGTTGCGAGTGAAGAGGTGCTCACAGACCCTGTAGTACCAGGAATGGCAAAGGCAAACTTGGTAGTGAATGTGGAGACAGTTCCGGGAAAAGCACAGACTCCGCAATCAGATGCCATGATGCAACAATCGGACCAACAAGTGCTCGAAAACCTGTGCGGCGACGGCTGGAGCTGCTCGCCAATCGACGCAGAGAAGGGCTTGTTCGAAATCACATTGCCAGCGGTGAGATACGAGCTCCCGATGGGCGTGGTGTCCATTCCTGCACCCCTCTTCCACGCTCAGGTCGGAAGCTTAGCAAATCTGAGCACTTAGTTATAGACGGAGCTCAGAGCCCTTCAGCACGTTCCGCATCGATCACGCGGTGCATTGCTTGTTGCATTGCGCGATCGACTGTCTTCTGGGTTCCCCAGGCCCGCAGCTCACAAGTGCAGTCTGGCGACTACAGCGAAAGGTTGGTGGCCGACATCGTGCTACAGAACGGTGACAAAATGCTCTGTGTTGAGCCACTTGGCAAGCATGCTCGCAATGTCTCCTCAGCTGGTGAGCCAGTGCCAGTCGACCTGAAGTTGGACTACATTGACATCACCGCAGTAGGATGTTCCTAGTAGAGCCATGAGAAGTCATGAGTGTCTTGGCATTGATCAGGCTTGGATTTCCCTTCAACAGCAAATTCACCATCTCAGCCGCTGGCCACGTGCTTGGTCTGACGGTTGCAACAGAGAGGCAGTCACGCCGGGCTTGGACCCTAAACCCTAAACGGATGGGGGGCCCAAGACCCCTTTCCCTGCGACTCTGAGGCTGGGCGCGCTGCCGTGTTGCACAAGAGCCCGATTCGGTGATTTGCAAGGCAGTCGGCGGGTGTCCCTTGAGAATCTAACATCTAAACAGCTCGCCTGGGCCCCACAGGACCCTTTACGACTAGTTAATGTTCTGACTTGCAGTCGTTGGGCTTGTCACAAGGCTTTGCAGAACAACTAAGGCAATGGTGACGATGAGCAGCATTAGTAGTCTTAGTAAATACTGGCGGTGATGGTAGTACTGGTAGTCGTGGTGGTGGTTGTGGCGGCGGCGGCGGTGGTCGTGGTCGGGGTATTGGTAGTGGTAATAGTAGTGGTGGTAGTAGAGCAGTAGAAGCAGCAGCAGCATCAGGAGTAGCAGTGGTCGTCATCGTCGTACGCGCAATCAGTGGTAGTAACAGGAGTAGTCGAATAGTAGGCGGAGTAGGCGGAGGAGGAGGAGGAGGGCGAGAGGAGGGATGGTCATGGTTGTGGTCGTGGACGGGCTGATGGTCCTTTTTGTATGACGGCGGTTCTTCTGCCGTGTTGCTGCAAGCTTGATTTCCGCACTGACTATCCAGATTGGGACTCATTACTTCTGTGTCCAGGCGCAGGTCGAGATGGGCCTCCAGGTGCCAAAGGCGAGAACCCGAGTCACAAGTCAACGGTGAAGGAGATGATATGTGGGTGGTTGTCAAAATTATGGTCCCTTTTGGGGTACCCTAAATAATAGGTGCCGTATTATAATAAGGACCCAAAAAGGGACCATAATTTTGACAAGCACCCATATATATATATATATATATATAGATAGCATGTTCCAGAGCTGTTGCTTAAATCGGAAAAGATGTTTGCGACATTCTCCAATCAGGTCCCAGGATTGACCTCGATCTTGCAGTTCTTCGTGAAGTCCTATGCCAACAAATCCGCAACTTTGCTGCAGACCCCGGATATCTCAGAAGACCACACCCGTCTCGTCGGCCGAGGCTCACGACTGCGCCGTGAGCCTGTCAAAGCCACCTGGTCTTTGAGAAGCTCCGAGCTCCGCCCTTGTTCCATGGCTCCTCGTTCCTCGACGGCAAACCCTAAACCATAAACCCTAAACCCTAGACCCTAAACCCTAAACCCTAAACCGCTCCGCCCTTGTTCCATGGATCTGCAGTTAAACCCTAAACCCTAAACCCCTAAACCCTAAACCCGCATTTGGCAGGAGAGCGCCACACCCTCGCAGCTGAGCACACGCAGAGCTGGCAGGGCTGGTTGTTTCGTTTTCATGTTCAATGCTGCAAAGGGCATCAAGGGAAAGTATATGGGCGAAGTAATGAGAACACAGGACCCTGGAGTCCAAACATCACTCGAAACATCGCAAGCTTGGGCGCGATCTAGCCCATACTTGCTCGATTATCTAATGCAGCACATAGACACAGCTTGCAGCATGCGACGGTGCTTTCGATCCAGGTGTCAATAGCGATTGAACCGTGTCAAGTTCGATAGTGCAGGGCCGACACTGGCAGTCTGCATCGTCACGTGCTTCATCGTTTACTAGTTTCGGATGTGAATTCCCCCAGGTTTTCGAATGCGCGAGATCAGGAAACCCACTGCTGAAGACAGAAAGTTCTTTTTCGGGCGAGTTCGTCCCATCCCCGACTGAGAAAGGTAGCACATGTTTGCCCGACATGGAATGTGTGTCTTGTTTCGCAGGGGTGATCCAGAGAACTTTCTGCATCCACTAGCTTCTTTCCATCTTGCAAAGACATCAGAGAGCGATGAGCACGCCTGACACTAGATCTGTAAGGAATGCTCCGCCAGAAGACTGATGGTAGGTGGGTGCCACGATGGTCGCCATCGAATCTTCCCAGCCTCAGCGCATTCTGTTCTGATTGTTCTTTTGTTTTCCAGCTGGCCACTGGAAAGCAAATAGTGGGAGTCATCCCCAAGACCCCAGTGTTTGAAGAAACGGGCAGCTTGCCACGAAGTTTTCTTATGAACTGCAGTATGCTTTCAGCCTTTTCGTGAGCATTTTCAGCTGGTTGCGAAACGATGCTGCCCTGGCTAAAATATCGTAGGTCTTCTGACAAGGTCAAGATTTGAAACATTGCAGGCGGGCTGAAAGCCACGTAGGCCACAGGTGTTGTCTGTGAGGTTCAATGAGCAGATGTACTATGGCTAAATCGAATTTGGCTGCCGCCTCCACTTCACAGCACTTGGCAACATCAAGTGGATTCGAAGGCTCTGCATCAGCGATAACACCATTGCTGAGTGCAGACATCCTTCCAGAAAAGTCAATGAGTTACTGTAGTGACAGGGTCGGCTGGACATGATGCGCACGTTCCCACACACGAAGTGTAGTCCAGAATTATCGGCCTGCCCCAAACCACTTTCTGTGAGCATCATACCAGTTGAAAGTTCTCAGGGGAGCAGATAAGACATCTTGTGCGACTGGCGATCACCGATGTCCCGGCTGACAAAACGAAGCCTGCGCGTCATCGGGACAAGTTTCAGAAGCGATCATGCGTGGCAACACAATTTGTAACTAGACTTCCGGTTCGTCCTGACATGACTCCAAAAGATCTCGTATTGGACATGTTTACGACATGGTATCCTCGTAAGGAAGGTCTAAGAAAGCACGAAAGGAGAATTCTGCGAGCATCTTCGGGTACACAAGCCCAGGCCGAACAGCCCGACATCAACCCTGCCAGAGATTTGCAGGATGATCCGGTGCCGAGGCCTGTTCACCACGGAAACATGCTTCGTATACGTGTGATACGGTGTTGAAGCATGAATTTGTTTCAGTGTTGTCGTGCTCGCAAACAAGTTGCGGGGCGACAGACTCGCCAGCATAAGGAAAGACGAAGAGACTGCAGCGGAGTGCATTCGCAGACGCCTCGGTTCCCGAATTCACTTCAAAACCGCTGTCCTGTCCCTGTTCTTGTCGATTGCACTCGAGGTCTTCAGAGCATCCTGGACAGGATGAAGCAGCTCATGCGTGAAGAGTCGGTTCCTTTGTGTCTTGAGAAGCCTTGATAGAAACGCTACAAGACAGCCTTTGAGCATGAAATAAGTCAGACTGAGGAGAGCCGTGTGGAACGAAGAACGGGCGCAACTGTTGGATGTGCCGAAGCTGCAAGCTGAAAGACTGTTCGGGTACTGCTCGTCTCATCGCTATCGTTTAACATTCATTTCCACTGACACCGATGGATGTTTTGAGGAGTGTAGCTATCGCGAGGTCTCGGGAGGTGGTTCGGATACCAATGTACGAGAGTAACGAAGCAAAAAACCGCAGCAGTCGTAGGAGTACTAGAGTGTCATTGTCAACATCATCATCGCCATGACATTGCCGAGACTGTGTCGCAGTCGTCGAAAGCCATCTCCGCTGTCGCGGCCATGATCGTCGTGGCCGTCGTCATCAGAGCCAATCAGAGCATAGAACACCAGCATGCAACCAAAAGGCATGCCCTAGTTGTGTAATCTTCGCTTGCGCTGAAGACCTCAGGAGTTGTCAGCTACACGACGCGCCTTGCCCGGCTCTCAGTGAAGCTCTCACACTTGGACTCTCCATCGCCGGGCTTCGAAGGTCGGCTTCCGAGGCTGCTCGCGAAGCAGCAGAGCTGGCTTTGGCTCAACGCTCCGTGTCCATGACGGCTCCCTTTCCCTCGGCCTCAGCGGCCTCAGCCGCCTCAGTTGCCTCAGCCTCTCTTCAGCCGTCTTTTCATCAAAGTCGCGGCAGCCTGGGGAGCCTCGGGAGCTTTCAAGGCCTTGGGCCCGAAGCTGAGATCGCAGTCCTCAAGGACGGGGTGCGCGCGGCCCTGGACGCGATGTCCTTGGACAAGAGACCCCCTGGGCCCTCTCAAGATCAATTCAGAGCATACAGCAGGCAAATGCGCCCTGCGGGCCAATGGACCAGAATGCAACTTGAGGACGACGCGAATCGGTTCAAAACGGTAACGCCTGCTGCTGCATGAGATTAGAAGCAAGCGCCTGCGAAACGAAACAGATGCACAAAGCAGAGGGTGCGTAAGTGTGTATGCGTGTCTGTCTGTCTCTGTTTTTGTGTGTGTGTGCATATGTCTGTATGTATGATGCTCTTTGTCGGTGATGGTCATATCATATGATGTAACAGTGAAACTGACCAACGAAACTTGCAGATGGAGGAGCAACATTGCACATGAAGATGTTCACTTGACTGACTGCATCTGTATTTGGGTGTATTGGTAATCCAGTACATCTCTCAAACTTGAATCAAACATTACCCGCATACATATACAAGTCACTTGATGATTAGCTAGACCGCCTGTGCGCATGTTTGCTGTGCGTGAATGTGCACGTATATGTATCTGTATATGTATATATGTACTTGTGTATGTATATGTGTATGTACGTTTGTATGTTGGCATGTGTGTACGCATGTCTGTCTGTCTGTCTGTGTTCATATATCGACGTACGCGTTTCTGTTTGTACATGTGTATGCGCGAACATGTGCATGCCTCTTCTGGCAGTATGTGTTTTTGCAGCTCTGAAGTATTGCAGCTTCTTCAGGTCTGTGGCCCAAGATCTCACAGTGCCCGACGAATGTTCACGGTGTACCATCCTGGAACCCCCTCAAGGCATTCAGACCATGTTCCCGGCTGACGAAAGCGCAAGTGCTGGTAAACGCCACTTCTACGAGTGAGCATGAGCAAGTTGCAACTTCTTCGTCAAGTACTGATGTCTGCTGCATCACCGTCGCAATGACGTCAATCTTCGGGCTCTTAGACAAGCGGCAGCGAGCTGCCCCTTGGTTTGCAGCAATGACCTCGCACAGTGGTCGCCAAAGATGTCCCGGAACAGTTCTGAGAGTTAGTAACGGTTGGAAGTTTAGAAGATTTTAGAAGCCATTTTTGTCCATAGCTTTCGTTTGGAGATAGACACGAGGCAGACGACGCCGCGCTGGCCAATGATTTGGACTTCTCCTTTGAGGCTGCAGCCTTAAATTCTTGACACTGCACGCCGTGCATCCCGCTCTCTGAATCGCATTATGTCCGGGCAGAAAAAAATGCAATGCATCGGCAATGCCAGGAGCGAGCCGACTTGCTCGCAGACCTCCTCGAGGCGGGAGAATCGGTGTAAGTACAGCCGACCCTAGCTTGGTAGACTGAGCCATGGTCCAGTGAAGTCGAACGTCGGATGCCCCCTGGCGAAGTTCCCTGGCAGGACGACAGCTCCGTCCTTCCGCTGTTGGAATGCCCGCCAGAGGCACGAAGAAAGCTTCTCCTGGGCTCAGAATAAGTCCGTAAGTGTTTGAACACTTGTCGAAACAGAGTCTTGGCTCGGCAGTCGCAACCATCTGCGACTCTGGCTGACCCGCCCCGAAGTGCACAGACCGCAAGCTCCCGCGATTTCATCTCATTTGCAGGTCCTTTCCTCCATTCTGCTTCTGTCAGTGCTTCGTCCGCAAGCCCCGGGGAGATTCGGTGAATGGTTCTCTTGGTCACGAAGTGCTTTGCAGTGAGGAGGGCAGAGGATGTGAGGGCGGCTTGTTTTCACTCTTCAGGCCATGTCCTTTTTTCGGAGAAAGCCAGTGCCAGTGCATTGAAGTGACACGTAGCAACAACCTTAAGTAGCTGGTGTAGGTGTGCATCTAGCTCCTGAAGTTTTCTATTCACTCCAGTCAAACGAAAGTGCAATTTCGCAAATGGCCCTGTGCCCTGAATCAGGAGGCGGTAACAACGGTTCGGATGAGACCGCTTTGCCGGATGATGCGTGTGGCCGTGGATTCTAATGAAGGCAGGTCATTTCATCTCCTGGCATTCCGTTCATCGATCTTGCGAGCCAACATCTACAATATGTATGTGTGTATTTAAAGATACATATTATTTGTTTACATATATATATATAGAGAGAGAGAGAGGTGAAGACACTGATATATAGATACTGATATAGATATAATAGGTCTACATACATACGTACATACATACATACATACACACATACGTACACAAAACATACGTGTGTACATACATGCAGATTTATCATACTAATACAGATGAAAAAGAGAGATAGCCTTTGTCACTTCCTGCAAGGCCTGTGGAGTCTCTTGACCCTGCGAGACTTCGCAGATCTGGGTGGGACCACAAAACATTACCGCGGCCTGCGAACCCTCGCGGAATGGGACGAGTCCAATGCGATGAGGCGAAACACTTCGATGTTTGATCATCGCTCAGCACCTTATCCTAGTCTTGTACGTGAGGGTCGTGGAAGTCCATTTTCCCAGCGCCGATGCTTGACATGCCTGCATAGTGTATCCGGAGTCCTGCCTCCACAACTCGTCTAGGCGGCTGGAGTGGGATCCGTTGATGATTTGCGCGCCGCCGGCATTACGATACAGCCTACTGGCTGCAATGCAGGCCAGTTCTTGCTAGCAGAGAGCACGGCTTGAAGCGAGGATCCGTGATTTTCACCACTTTCACCACTTTGCACGCTTCTCATTGCAGAGCAGGTGAGACGTCAGCTTTGGACTCAGCACGGCCCGTCATTAGGGGCCGGCTGGGACTGGTTCAGTGCCAAGGCGTTTGCACGTTAAGTGACTAGTGAAGCAGGCACCCATGCAAAGTCTTGTGAGCTTTAGGCAGAGGACCATGATATGTCCGAAGTCTTTGTTTAAGAAGTCAACTCCCTGCAGGTGTGCCGCCGAATGGCCGTTCCGACCTTCCTGCGCTGGGCGTCGCTACAGCACGACGGCAAGGCGCGGAAAAAGCCACAGGTCTTGCTGGACCCTGGCACCAAGGCAGTCATTTATCATTTTAGCATAAAGGAAACAGTTGTAATGGCTGCAAGGGCTTTAATCATAAAGCCAGCTCTTTCAGTGATCCTAGTGGCCTCAGTCGGTAGAATGCTGAAAGCCCCAGAAGAGCCCTGCAAAAGCATCCACCGGTGCTGTGTTTGTCCATATTTTTGAGTGAGTGTCATGCGTTTCGCTTTGCCTTTTTGCTCTCAGGTACTTGGGTGTGGGACACTATTAGTAGTAAGTTTGGAGAGTCTGCGACTACAGTACTAGTAGGGCACATAGAGACAACGGTTTAGGGGAACGCTGGGGTTTGAGAGTTTGTAGCGTTTAGGGGTTCTCGGTCTTAGGGTGTAGGAGATTGCGGCTACCACATTGACATCTTCATCCCTCCCCCCCCCCCCCCCCCCGCTTGAAACACAGCAGATTTGCTGGACTGTTGTTCAACCCGGCGGCATGGACATGTGGGAATGCATCAGTGTGCGAGTTGTCTATACTCGCTCGTGTAGATCATTTCGGTGTTTTTTCGATGAAGGTATTTCATCTGTCGTATACATTTGTCCCCAGTACGTCTGTCTAGCCCAGAAGACAGTGACCTCCGTGAGTTGAAGCAGATGCCGTGCCAGGCTCTGCAAGCGCTGCTAAGACCTCTCGGCCGGGAGCCCAGGTGGTTTGCAGAGGCGCTCGAGAAGGATTGTTACTTCGAGTATGCTTTGTATGATGACCGATATGGGCCGATATGGGCAACACGGCTCGGACTCTTGTGGCTGTTAGTCAGAGTCACGGCAGTCATTATCAGTGTCGCTCTTTCAGATGAATTCCGTTGCGGTCGAGGCGATTGTCGGCATGACCTGACATAATGTCGTGGTGCTGCAGTCGACACAGTCAAGGGCTTCAAACAATGCAGAGTTTTGTCAACGCGTTTTTTGGTCTCGCGTCTTGGTAAGTGCTCTGACAAGAATCACAGCTTTGTCATGCACTCTTTCCAACAGATCTTGCTGTTCGACCTGCGGGGCACTTACTGATGCTGCTGGCTCTGACGCTTGCTTCCCCTTTCGTTTTTCGTTGCTGCTTGCAAAGTGAAAAAGAAAAGGGCCCCTGGAAGCACATCCGATTTAATTTAGCCTTCCAGACGCTCTAGGGTCTCAGAGACGCAAAGTCAGGTATCGGTCCGTGTTCCCCGACCCTCAGCACTGTGTGCGGGCTTGCATCTAGCACTACGTAGCTTAGGGAAGAAGTGGTTTTTGTACAGATTCGTTCAACCACAGTGAGGCCTCTCAACTGGAGATGCGGTGTCCAGCGGCGCCGTCCTTCCAGGGCAGAAGCGAAAGCGAACGAACGACGCAGATGAAGAAGCAGAGCCGGCGAAGCGGACAGGCCATGAGGGACACAACACAAGAGAAGGGTGCGATGTGATTGTTCGACTTTCGCTGCCCAACAGTGCGTTGCCTGCATGCTTGAGGCATGCGGTTCAGATGCGGACGCTCCGATGCGGTCGACCTGAGCGAGGAAGCTGTCAACGACATCTACGAAACGGTTCAAAGATGGCACAGCAAAGAGCATCGGGAGATGATGCGAGCGCACTTTCAGGGCACAGACACTTCCAAGAAGGGCAAGACTCAGCTGCCGCGGGCCAACAGCGGGGTTTTCAGCGTGACTCCCACTCTTGATGCCCACGAGGCAACAGTCTTCGCCTTAAATGAAAGTCAGCCGGAGCCGGACACAACAAAGAAGCCTCAAGCAGAAGGACGTGGCACCGCATCAATTAACATCGAAGAGGCGCAGCTCAGGCTAGCCGTCGAGCTGTCGAAAAGGGAAGCAGAGCAGCCAGAGAAGGAGAAGGCCGAGGAGACGGAGAAGGATCCCCAATCGAAACAGGCCCAGGCCCAGGCCACACCCGAGGAGATTCAAACGGAAGCCGTGCCAGCAAAGACTCAGGACAGACGCAAAATTTCATGTTCGGGCTCAGCAGATTTGCCTGATAGAGCAGAGGTGCCTTCCTGCATAGTCGCGCAGCCAGGATGTCGCAGATGTCCGGGTGCCAGAGTTCGAAGGGCTTCCGCTCCGTGGAGAAGGGGGAGTTCCAGCTGCCCAAGTCTTCGTGAAGCCGCACTGCCTGGCGGCGCGAGTCGAGGCCTTGCCAGATGCGCTGGAAAGGTCCATTGAAAGCATTGCCCAGGGCTCAGTTAAAGCCAAAACGCAGACTCTGTGGTTAAAAAGGGACGAAGACCAGTGCTGATGATGCAAGGTCCACAAGCTAGTGACGCCAGATTCCTGGGCGCTGCTCTATGAGTCCATCACGGAGGAAGCGCCTGCTGTTGGGATGAAGTGTGACCTTTTTCAAAAAAGTTGATGTTGTATCTTTATGGGAGCTCGCGGCTTCCCAACCCCAGAACTTCCATCCCAAAGCCACAACCTGCAGCATCAGTGTGGATCGAGCCGCACAGACCTGCTTAGAGTTTTCTTGCGTAAACTTCAGTAAACGACAACGTACTCCATACCGCCTGGCGCCTGGAACCGCGGCCATGCACACCACACCGAGTTGGCGCTTGCATCTCATCACGACACTTGCCCTGTTGAGGGTGCGTGAGGAGTGTGCGGGACCATTGCACTACCATGGCTCCACGATAGAAGAGACAGCAGCGACTGGTGCCCTTCCGAAAGCCCATGGCCCATGCTCAACCACAGCATGACCCCAGATTCCAGGAGCTTTGCCTAAGGGCTCGATGTGCTGCACATGCCCTTTGCGCATCGCACGCCGGGGCGATGGATCAGCATCATGTCGCAATTGCTGATACAATCATTATCATCTACGGCAACCAAAGATGCATGCATTTATCAGGCAGTAGACTGCGAGGCATTTTTTTGCTGATGTTCGCTCGCATCTTCGGGCTTAGGTTAGACGATGTGGCAACCGACACCGCCAAGCTCCAGGAGCGAGCACTTGCAGCTTGAGAGAGAGAGACACTCTTCTGCCTTTGGCTCAGGGCTCTTCCGGCATCTCGCTGGACCAGGAACGCCTCTGTTTGCCCATCTGGCGGCGAAGTTCCGTCATGTCGGGGCTCTCGTGCCTCACAGATGGACCGGACGGAACCGGCGCCGCAGAGAAGCTGCGCCTGAACCGGGCACGGCACGACTTCCTGAAGCACGCCATGCTCGAGTGGTGCGAGCTGGAGGCCACGCTGGTAGCCACGGTGAGGGGACCAGACCAGAGACTCTGCATAGTGCTGCCTTCTCCTTTCGCTCAGGATCTCACCGAGTTCCTCGATGCGCAGCTGGGCCCGCTGGAGATGGCCATCGACAACTTCCGAGGAAGCCAGGAGGTGAACACGGCGCACACACCCCACGTCCGGGACATCGGGCGCCTGATGTTTCGGAACCACTGTCTTCTGGACTCTCGGGTCTTCAGGTGCGGTTTTCCGAGGGCCCCTTTGAAAGCATGGCGAGTGAAGGGAGTTTGGGGCTTAGCCATCCCGCAAGGCCCTTGTGCTTGGCAGCCTATGCACTGGTCCATGAGGCCTCAGTTGCGCCTGTATGGATGCACAGAGTGGCCCCACCGAACCCACCCTGCTCCTGGCAGATCCATGGTGCCGCTGGGAAGCCGAACGCTTCCGGAGAAAAGAGAGATCCCGACAGTGTGGATGCCCTCGTCGTAACTTGCCTCGAGTTACTGGTAGCCAGCGTGATGAAGTTCTGAAGTGCTCAGCACAAAGATTCCAGGCGATCTTGCTGGCAGTGTGTTTGTCAATGGTTTCTCCATGTGAAGTTGTCTGTCGACATAGTTACGAAGCGCATACAAAGCATCAAGCAATCACCTTAAATTCAGGCGTGCTTCCATGTATAGCAGCTTATCAATGCTGTCGAGATGTTTCATGCAGACTCATAAGGCCACAAAGGCTGTGAGATAGCTATTGGCAGAAGCAAGCTAAGGACCTTCTCGAGCACTTTCACGGCATGCTGCTGCTCGACTGCATGCGATTGGAGGGGCCTCACGAATGTCCATGCCAGTCGGCACAATTTTGATTGTTAGAGTCACTTGCCTCATGAGGGTGGGTTGCGACGTTGCCGACGACCACTTGTCCTCATCCAAGAACACCAAGGAGTTGCGGGTCCGTTCGGATACTTAATCTCAATTCAGAATGCTGCTCAAGGAGTCCTATGAGCAGAACTTGGTGTCACCAATTTCTGCTGCCATGGATCGCTTCGGTGACAAGGACCTCACGGTGCCGACGCTATGTCGACATGTTTGCAACCTCGGAATTCTCGTAGCTCCAAGAGTTCTGAAGGACATCCGGGGCCATCCGTCCAGAGACTCAAGCAGAGGCCAACTTGTAAGTCCCCTTTCGGCATACGCAGCAGTGGAATGCAATGTTGCACGGTGCAGGCCAGCGCCGCAGCTTGTTGAAGTGCATGTAGTTTTCAATGGCACTGAGCCGCGATTCCCTTCGCTTCTTGACGGCCGTAGAACACAGCTTCTGTAGGGCGGCCTGTGTTGTCGTAGTGTCAGTTCGCTGGCTTGAATGCCATGCAACTCCTGAATGCGGCTTGCAGACATGTACATACTATGGCGAACATGGAGCTAGGATCCACGATGGCCAGATGTTCCATCGTGACCGATTTTCTTGCAGCCGCGTCCGGTTTGCGTTCTTAAAAGGTGCACCAAAGGTTTGCTCCGAGCCTCCGAGATTCCACAAACGGTGAAGTAAATTATGGAGTTTTTATGTTGAGGGTGGAAAAATTGGATCCCGGCTCGCGCATGCGACAACAGCCACAAAACCGTGGCGCGAGGCAGAAATCGAGAAATTTCTTCTGATTACAATATTTACGACGTCATTGAGAAATTACCAGAGAATGAATTTGGAATATACGATCTTTCCTTTTTATTTTTTATGAATATCTATTTATTTATATATCCTAATAGATCGAAATCTTCGTATTTTTATGATTTCGATTTAAAATAATTTCTATTTGAATATTTAAGAAATAAAATTTTGATTCATAATTAATAGATTGGAAAGAAATATAGATGGATGAAATGTTATGATGCTTCTACATGTCAAATAGATTCTACTAATAGTTGAGCTCGCCGTGCTTTTTTGATTTTAATATTATATATATATATATATAGGATTTGGGTTATTCGTGCGTATATTTTCTTAAGTATTGTGAAGAGATTAATGTTAAGGTTTAGGGTTTGGAAGGAAATCTTGATATAAGAAAAATAATATAGGATTTCGTCTAGAAATAATATTTATAATTATTATTGCAGCTGTCGTTTTTTCTTATAATAGCTAGTTAGTGGTTGCCGTTCCTACGGTATTCTAGGTTCTGGATTTGAAAGTCTAGGATATTAGCTTGTATTGATAAGGGTAGGTTTTAGATAATTGATCTTTTGAATATATGATTTTTCACTTATAATTCAGACTTCTGGTCTCTAATAGAATATCTGAAGTTTATTATTAAAATAGAATTATATTTTCTAGGATATGAAAATTAAAATATCTAGAATATTTAAGAATTAAGATTTTTCACTTTCATAATTAAGAAAATTTAATTTGAAATTAGAGGTTGAAACTAGTATGAAACTATAAAAAAAGAATTTGAAGTTTGGAACCTGCCCATACCCTCATAAGCCGTGCAGGCACCTTAGACGACCTCTTCTTGTGAGAATAATACCTTATAGATTATGAAGAAATCAATATTTAAATTCAGGGTTAAGAAGAGAAACTTAATGGAAGAAAAATAATGCGAGATGCCATTTATTATATAATTATTATTATTTCCATCGTGTTTCTTTATAATAACAGAAATCGATAATCAGAAATTACCAGTTCGACTTATTAGACCGAAATCTTACCAAATTTATAAATTCGAAGATTTCAATTTCCAAGATAACGGCCTAACCACCTACGATACTAAACCCAAGCCTCAAATAACCGATAATTCGATATACTATTTTCTAAATTTCGAATTCCTTATAATTAATAGAATAATAGAATATAATATTCAAATTCTTAATCCAAATATTTTACAATTTCCAAATTTCAAACTCATTTATGCAATTTCATATTAATTTCATATTAATTCCAAAATCATTATTAAAGAAGAACTACATTTTCCGAGGCATAAAAATAAGACAATCTAGAATCTATAAGATATCCAAGAAAATATAATTCCCCCCTAAATAATGAATTTGAAATTAGAGTGTAGAACTAATCTAAACTTCAAAATAAAGAATCCAAATTTGGAAATTGCTACGCATTAGAGGGTTCTATTAATAGTAAAGGGACTCAAAATTTGGAGAATGTCAGGTAAAGTGGATTTAGCTATTGTGTAGAACCTTACCATGCCCTTATAAACCGCGCAAGCACCATTTTCGCAGAATATGAATATCTTGCCAGAAGATAAATAAAATCCTACATGACCCCCTACGTGACAGGTATATTGACAACATTGGAGCTCCCCGTGCCCCTCTAATTTCAATATTACATGCACATGTAGGTGATGTAGGATTTCGGTCATTCGCGCACCCTCCCAAGTATTGCGAAGAGATCAATATTAAGTTCAGGGTTTGGAAGGGAATCTTGGGGTAAGAAAAATGATGCGAGATTTCGTCCATCAATAGTACCCATAATTGTTGCTGCTCCTGTCGCTCTTTCTTGCGATGAACAGACAGAGGTTGCCAACGCTCCTTCGGCCTTCTGGATTCTTACCAAATTTGCAAACTCGAGGACTTCAATGTCCAGGATGACGGCCTGTGTTGGCAAGGCCAGGCTTCAGACAACCGACAGTCCGAATATGTGGCATTTTCCAAGTTTCAAACTCCTCTTTACCAATAGAATGCCAGAATATATGGCAATTTCCAAGATTCAAACTCCTCTTCACCCATAGAATGTCCGAATACGTGGCAATTTCCAAGTGTCAAACTCGCTTGTGCAATTTCCTTCTAGTTTCAACAAGCAGCCCAATCTGCGAACTCCCCCTACAAGCTGGGTCATGTGGCACGTAGAGGGTTAGTCCGCATCCTATATTGGTGCATCCTCCCTCGTACGATCAGCATTTTGTCTGAGTTGCAGCTACTTTGGCGTCTTCGTTAACTGTGCCTGCGCGCGACGGGTGCGCGGCAGCTGCACATCCCTCACGGTGCAGGAGCCTTTTGCTTGGACAACCTAAACGGACCTAACCACCGTGACCATACGAACCAGCCGAGTTGAGTTCGCGAAGAATCAAGCCAAGCCAAGTTCGTGTCATGTGACAACGGAAGTGAATGCAGCTTGTCAAGTCCCGCCGCAGGCCAGTGCATGCATGCCACAAGCTTGAGAACAACTTGAACATGCTATGTACTTCCTACCTTCTACCACAACTTCTGCGCTACACGGGCAGAACCGATTTGCAACTGCTCCTGCTACCACGGTCCCTCCTGCCCACTACTGACTTGGCCCCTACCGCTACTACTCCTACTTCTGCTCCTCGCACTATATACTTCCTTATCTACCTGTACTTGTACTTGCTCTTGTGCTTCTAGTTCTACTTCTACTTCTTCTTCTACTACTACTTACGTCGTTGTTTCTACTACACTATAAGAGTAGACCAACTTCAGTTCTATTGGTAACAACAACAAACTTTAACAGTAAGAAACGCAAGCAAAGAACCAAAATCAACGGCAAAATCAATTCGTCACATCTCTCGAGTGCTACTACTAAAGCCTCCTGCAGCCGCGACGGTATCGCTGCATTAACGATTGCTCAAGGCAACTGGCGTCACATTTCTCTCGAGTACCACACGACGAACTCCGGATAAGCCTGCCACAACTTCAACCATGACGCCGCACAGTTCTCAAACAGTCTGCGGACAGTGTCCTGGTGTGTGTCGTAGACGATCATCTCGCGAAACCTTGCAACAGTGGGGAGCCCTGTCTCCAGCCGTTAAGCTCGACATGAACCGTCCTTTCCAACAAGCCTGTGTGCAATTGCAGTCTAATCAATTGGTCTCGCACGTGTTGCGGATCTTCTCACGATCTCCCAGTACTGAATGGTTTTCGCCTCTGGTACAGCGCCTGCCGTGACATGCTCCGATCACAGCGAGCTTTTTGAGGTTGCCGGCATGGTGTCCTGACGAGGTCGTTTGTGTTCGGATATTCTTCGTCGGAGTACCTCAAGATATCTGGATCCACCGAAAGAACTGTCTCTTCACATTTCCACCCGGCCCCAATTCCGCTTCCGGCCGGGCCATCTCCGGGTTAACAGCGACAGCATGTTGCCCCATTTCCGGTGCACATCCTGCTGTAAGACTGCGGCAGTAGGCGGCCCAGAGTGACGCGGCAAACCTCGGCTGGTTTCCCTTCTGGCCGGTAGGAGATGCTCCAGAGAAATGCAGAAGCCCGCAAAAGTTCCCGGAGACTCAATGCCAGGCTACCAACATGCAGCAAAGTCCTGCCAGAAAATGCGTCTGAGCACATCTGCCATTTTCTCTGCATTCAACTCAATAACTTTCCGCGACGGCTCTTATCTTGCAGCCTACTGAGCTCCAATATGCTCCATCTGCGGTGCTTGTCAAGCCAGTGAATATGCAACTAATGTATAATACATAACAGTTAATATGCAGATCATATGACTTATGATTCTAAATATGTTTTTGACGTTAAAATACATATGACTTATGATTATCGTGGTTGCGCAGGTGCACATGCCTCGGCTGTCTTCCGTCGCGTACCTGTCAGTGCAAGCGTAAGAGGGTGACCTCCAAGAAGACCTGCAGCTACTTGCATCTACTAAGGTTTAGGGATGTTTAGGGTTTAGGGTTTAGGGTTCTAGTACCTAGTCCTGCGAAGCGCACTCGTCGCTCTTTCCAGTGCTCTCACCTGGTGGCCAAAGGTTTCCCTTGATTGGCACTCTCTGGCGAGCTCTGTCACGAGGCTCAAGCTGAAGTAGAGGCCTCTTCCGTAAAGTGTCCCAGCCTCGGCCCACTGGATGCTTTGAATTTCAAGTTCTCTTTGACTGACTCACTTTGGCTTCCAGACACAGGTGGCACATAAGCTGGTGGCGTTTGAACCGGCCAGGTCGAGACGAAAATCACCTGCGAGTGCAACAGGGCACGACGGAAAGTCGCAATCCAGGCGCTCGCGTGCTTTCGAAACGTCCGCAGCCTTCTGCTATGGCCAAAGCCGATGAAGGCTTTGTTCCTGCTGCAGTTCGAAGTCGAAGCACTTATCGTCAGCACAGGCAGAGCTTGGAGGATTCTTCTATCTGAGCCGATGGGTTGGTCCGACATCATCGCTTGCAGACTCAGGCCGCAACCGTGAAAAAGATAAAATTCGTTGATGCCGGCCTTGGCGTAGAAAGCAACAAAACGCTTCCATTGCTACATCACTCAGAAGACCGGCATAAACTTGCAGCCGCTGGGCATCAACTGGATCATTCGGAAGGTCGTGAGACTCTCTCCAAACTTGGTGGAACCTGCCATCCCCCAGGAATGTGCAGCAAGTCTACTTGCCCGTAGTAGGCAAACGCAACGATACTCGCAGAAAGTGCGAGCTACTTGAGGAAGTCAAAGCTTTGCCAGGCAGACGGCTTCCCACTGGGCAAGGCAGCAAATGTCTTGCACACCTGTGCGATCCGGGCAATTCCGCCAAGTCAGCCTACATGTAGATGACTCTGTCGACGGATGTCGACGGGTACCCGAGTCTTGAATCCGAGAATCCGACAGATCTGCTCTCCAGCTGGTTGAGGAGCGTGGATGGATGGGGACCTTGTACCGGCAGTGGACGCTGCAGACAAGTCGGGTTGTGAAGCAGCTGACCACTGTGATGATGGTTTCAGGATGTGATCTACGAGCTTTATGTAAGCAGACAGCGGTAAGAAAGTGTAATTGTCTGTTAGAAATGCTGCACATTCGTCTTATGTAGCGATAGAACAACTTGGGAGCTGACGCTCTTGGCATTGCTTCCGAATCTCCTGTCCCGCACTCCCAGCGGCTGTGTATCCTGAACTGTGTATCTTGAACTACACTGTCTGTCCTCGCGTCTTCGCACGTATTCCACAAAGTTCGGCAGATTCTTTACAACCTCAAGGGCGAGCAGGATCCATGGAACTGTGATTGCAACAACCGAAAATCTGCAAAAAAAGAAACATCACCAGAATGTGCTCGCGAGCAGCCACGGCTTCCTTGACGATCAGCCGTGACCTTGGCGAGCGACCACGCTGCTACCACAGCGAAATGGCAGTCCCATCTCAGAGATTGGGTCATGGCGGCACATCTCCTCTCCGGTCCTTCGTCCGCACCTGATCTTGCGTCTTGCTCATTGACTTCGTCGGCACGCTACGATGTCTTGGGTGCAGGGAGCAAAGGATTTACCCTAAACCTTAAATCCTAATCCCTAAACCCTAAACCCTAAATCCTAAACCCTAATCCCTAAACCCTAAATCCTAAACCCTAAACCCCTATCGTTGGACTTATGGGGCTTCCGACGCTTCCGGGGCCCTCGCGCGGCGGTACGTTGCGTCGAGCAGCTCTTGGAAGACCTTCCCAACTTTTAGGCCAATGGGTGCCAACAGTATGATATATAGTATGTTAATAGTAGAAAAAACTAACAATAGTATATTTGGTAGCATCTTAGTACTATATACATGTATACAAATTAATATATTTGTAACATCTTAGTACTATATAAACACTGCATTTCATTACCATAGGAACTATGTCATAGCAACAACAGCACGGAAGACCGGCCTTGCCTCACAGAGGGTGTTTTGCAGCAATTCTTTCTTGACGCTGCCTGTGAGTCTTCAGCTCGCGGGGACACTTTAGGGCTTCAGAAAAAGGCTTTATGTAGGGTTTAGGGTGCACAGTGCCGAGTCTTAGGAGCCCACTCTTGGAGATTTTGCTCAGCACCTGTTCATTCTCGAAGTACCTGCAACGTAGAAGATGCTCTTTTGACTCAAGCTGCAAGAGATTACACGATGCTTGGAGCCAACACACAAACACACGGCTGATGCATATAGGCATAGGCATGTTCGCCATCGCATAGTTCCGATCTGTACTTTTCGCAGGCATGAACAGGTCACGGAGGCAGCCCCAGCAGCTCCTTGTAGACCTGCAAGGCCAACGGCGTACGACCGGCTTTCAACTGGTTCCTTGGCCACCCGATCCCTGCGTTGCTCCCGTTGCCTTGATCGCCTCTTGAAACTTCGGCTCCTGGTGCTGGCAGATCTTTGCAAGCGGAAGCCCATGGCACAGGACCGTTGCCGCGATATCCGCCGTATCTACAGGCTCATTTAAAAGAACCCCTTACAGTAAAAACGATTAAAACATGTAATTCGTGAACCTCTCCCTGTCCGAGCCTGACCAGCCCAGGCACGGACGTCCACATCCTGCGCTTGAAACTCACAAATGCCGTAATTCCCACATTGCAAGCTCATCATGGCTAACTAGCTCTGTTGTTGCCATGCATCGTGGAGGATCTAATCGGAAATGAGTCTCCTGCTCGATCATTTCCTGCAGCGTCGAGCGCAAAGCTTCCTTCCGTTGCAGGAATCTGATGGGCAGGGCGTCCCGTGCAAAGCTAGCTCTATTGGGATTTTGTAAGCGAATGCATTGCGGCAGAAACCTCTTTCGGACCAAGACGAAACAAGTTCGATTTCGAAAGCCAGAGCATCTTGAGCACCTCCACAAGACAGAATCAAGTTCTTCGGTTGTCTCCTGATCTCTTCTTGCCATTGCCTCGGTGATCATCCAGCATGGCTGCAGCGGGACATTCTAACCGCGTCTTGACCTTTGCCTCTTACAGCACAGTGGTGCCACCGCCGGTAGTACGGTTTCGTCGTGCTCGCCATTAGTGTCCTGAAACCGATTTTGGCCGATCGGCACTGCGAGGTTTGCAAAGCAACGAACACTATGTCTATCTGTCTATCTGTCTATCTAACTGTCTACCTATCTACCTATCTACGTATCCATCTCGCTACCTATCTGCCTGTTTACCTGCCTACCTATGTGCCTACGGACCTACCTAGCTACCCACCTATCTATCTCTCTACATACCTAGCTAGCTAGTTACCTAGCCACCTACCTACCTATCTATCTACCTATCGATCTGTTTATCTGTCTGTCGAACTACCCTTTATCTGCCTACCTATACCTACCTACCTACCTACCTACCTACCTGCCTGCCTACCTGCCTACCTGCCTACCTCCCTATCTACCTACCTACCTACCTACCTCCCTGCCTGCCTGCCTGCCTACCTACCTACCTACCTACCTATCTACCTACCTATCTGTCAATACTAGTAGTTGGTATCAGGTATGCATGTATGTATATGTCCAACTGTACACACACACGAATACATGCGTATATATATATATAGATATACACAGGTATCTGCACAGGTGTACACATTGAGTATTAGTTTATACACCTCCGTATATATATATATACATATATACATATATACATATATATATATATATACATATATATATATATACATACAAACATCTGTGTGCATGTGTTTCTGCATTTCTGCTTTTCATGGAACACAGCAAAACTGATATGAATATATATATATATATATAGATAGATAGATACATGTCTTTCTGTATATCTACACGTATGTACTGTTTGTTCATATTTGCTGATAGTTGATGATACATGTATTTATGGTTATCGAAATACATGTACTTTGCGTATCTGTTTGGGTGTTCGCGTGCTTGGTTGCTTTATGTTGCTTGGTCGGCTGGCTTGCTGGTTAGTTGGTTTGTCGGTCGGTTGGATTGTGTGCGTGTGTGTGTGTGTTTATCTCTTTGCTTCCTGTTGTACCGTGAGCCTCGTCTGGGGATGCTCTATCGTGATTTTCACTGGCTGCCCTGGACATAAGACATTGCAGACATGACACGGCAGAAGCAGTCGAGTACAGAGCCTAGTAGAGTTAGAGTGGTATAGATAAGTAAATACGAAAAAGTGTATATATAGAGAAAAACAAGTAAATATATAGAGACATGTATAGATATATATATATATATACATATATATATATATACATATATATATACATATAGATACATGTATATACCTTTGACACTTATCATACAGTATAGCCACCTAACCTATGACATATGCGAAATATTATTATGCATAACATATGCACATTCCTGCCTCGCAACATCTCACCAGACAAACCGTGTACTAGTTGAAGTTGCTCTCGCATGTTGTCCGAGACTCGCGCGTCTTGCAGGTTCTGCAAGGAGAGCTGCCTGCATATGCCGTTGAACAGGAGCTCATGCGTTTAGCTTGGGTTCTCGCATCAAAAACTGCACGGCCCCCATCTGAGCCGTGTGCCTCTGCAAATCCACCAGCCGCGTGTACTCAGGCAAATCTGAGTAGCCGTATTTTTCGGCCTGCTGAAGATGGCGATGTGAAGCTGCAGCACAGTTTGCAAATACATGCCCATTCTTGCTCTGTGACTAGGCGGCAGGGAGCGAACTTGCTGCAGCAGCTCGCTGCCTCAGCACATGCCTTTTGCACGGCTTTGCGGCTACACGTCGCAATGGCGCGTTGAAGCGATTGGCCTGGCCCGGGTGCAGTTACATTGAACCGGACGATGTCATGTCCTACCTTACGGCTATGTTGTGTGGAAATAGATACACAACACACATATCTCTCGATCTATCTACGGAGTGGGCATGCGACTAGGGCTCTAATCTGAAGTCTTCTTTATACGGTTCGAAACAGCCCTCCTTCAGCCTAGCTGATGGGTGGTTCCCAGATCATGTCCCAAGAGTGGCATTCACTGGCATTTCGTACTTTCGGGGGCGAAAGCTTAGCTTGCACGGCCTCGAGGCCGACCCCTCCCCCTAACCATGAGCAAGTCTAACTGAGAATCAGCAGGGAACCGACGGCCACAGACATATAGACGGAGCGAACTCCCGTACATCCAAACTAGACTCTACACCGAAGACATTATGAAGCCTTAACCCTGCCAGAACTAAGCCACTGGCCTGCAAATAAGCGACCCAACCCTTGGAAACCCCGCACCGATGCTTCGGGCTCAGCGAAGAGAGAATTTCACGAGGGAGTCTTTCCAGGGGCTGGGTTTAGAGTTTGGAGTTTAGGCTGTAGGATATTTCGGGGCTTTCCATGCTGATCTTCTTGGGGATCCGGGACTTTCGAGGAGTTTGGACTGCCTCACTCTAGCTGGATGCTCCGACATCACCAAGCAGGCCGGTTGTGCGGACGCCCTTCTTGAGAGCTGCCTTCGGGGAAATGCCGAAGTATGCGTCTAACGTGCAGGGGCAGCAACGAAATCACGTGCCATCATCTGTCGTCAGAAGAAGACACAATCTTCGGTGCCCATCACTGAATATCAATGCGCTCTGGTAGCGCAGCTTGCCTCCGCTTCCGAAAACTCTGGTCGTTCGGTCAGTAGGGAGCCTGTTGTGAGCTCCAGACAAAGATGAGTCCGCTCTGATGACCATCAGTGAATCTAAGCAAACAGGATCCAAGCCTAAGCTGATTGAGACACGAATGCCCCTTCGTCTATGCAACTCGCGGAACCAAACCTCCAGGATGCGTCTTGCCAGCCTCGCGTGCTGCGTGGCCAAGATGCTGTCAGTAAAAGCACTTATGTTGGCACGATAGCGTGCCAGCTGGCCTGCAGCAGGCTGTGCAACATCTCCAAATCACCTCCGACAGCAGCAGCAGCGGCAGCAGCAGTAGCAGCCGGATTGAGAGTTGGTGGGGTCACGTCGCATCCAAGAGCGGCCTCCAATGCTTTTCCGATGCCAATCCTACAAGGCGCTTGCAAGAGATGTCCTTTTGCCAGATCTGTTTTTCGTAGTGCGGGCAGTCTTGGTGTGTCACGCCCATTCCTCCCACGGGCACCATGCAGAAACCATGGCGTGCTGTGTTCCTACAAGCCTTGAGTGTTCTCCGCATGGCACGTAGTGCAGGACATGTTGGTTACCGGGACCGCCTTTGCTTGAATGCTGATCAGTCGCTTAGTGAACGAACTAATTACTATGCTGGATGTCGTCGAAACTACGAGCATGAAATAAATAGGGGACTGAATCATTATCAATATTAGTTTGAAACTATTTTGGTGGTTCCATATTATCACTATAGTATAATAGGAACATGATTCGGCATCTTCACGTTTCTCGCGTGATGGCCCATGGCCTCTCGCGGCGGCGTCTGCCAGCTGCCTGGGTGGAAGTTGCTGCTTTGCGCACTGAAGCCCTGCCGAGTTTTGGGGAATCGCCTCCCGATCTGTTCCACGCGCTTCTCCTCCAGCACCGTCTGCAAGGCATCCTCCGCATCCTTGTAGAGCCTTCCGGGCGAAAGAATCGGATTCGACTAAACTCTCGCTTCCAAATTATTTTCTGTATTTCTGCCCAAATCTCATGCGAAGACCCTATGCGTGGACGAAGGCACGAGGGCGGCATGGCTGTGGGATGATGGGGTCACACAAGCGGGAGGGCATCACTTGCCGACCCTCCCCAGCGGCTTTTTCGATTTGCTTCCGCATTCGAAGCCTCAGCAAGGAACCTCTCTGAGTTGTGCCAAGGACCCCCAAACCCCTAAACCCTA